AAATTTGACATACCCAGGAGGTTCCAGCAACTGCAAATTCAGCACATGTAAAATTGATGGTTACTGAAGTGGAAAGCGTGCAACCTTATACAGAGCCTGCACAGGAAGCAACACAGTGCTAGAACTTTAATACAAGTAAGCTGCTGATGCCTTTATTAGTTGGCAGTTTGATTATTAATAATTCAGAATGACTATCAAAAATATAAATTACTGCAACTGTTCTGGAGCTCACTTCTGTGACATGACTCTTCCTCTATAAACATCCCCATTGAAATGCATATTTCAATTTGGTATGTGTATGGATACGGATGGGTGGTTATCCCCAGGCTGCACTTGTTGATTAAGGTTTACTTCTATATGTCTCACAATCTAGACTGTTAGTCATAAACCCAACACAAATCCAACACATTACATCAGGTTTGGTACATGATCCTAAATAAACTTTTAAATGCACCATATTGCCTCCTTTAGGATTTAATATTTCATAAGTATGCAGTGATTACCTGATCTTCACCTTTATCACCAAAACACCCCTTTTTTCCCACTCTTTGGTCACAGAACTAGAAATATCACTTTCTTACAAGAACATTGATGGCTCTATTCACTAAACTCTGAGTTGCAGCAAACTGGAATACAAATAGCAAAATGTAGACTAAAATAACCAGCAGTGAATATATCCAAGTTGGGAAGATTTAACAGAAAAACTAATTCAGCCTAAATTCTAACATTCCGATTTCAGTCCTCTTCCTGGCGATGGATGCAGAGAAGGCATTTGGCAGGGTAGAATGGGGCTTAATGCATGTGACACTTCATACATATAGTTTTTGCGAACATTTTCTGTTTTCGATTACCATACTATACACATCTTGGTCTACACGCCTTACTATAATAATGGGACAAGGCAGGGGTGCCGTTTTCACCTCAACTGTTCGCATGAACGTTAGAAACCTTTCTCTGCAAAATTAGGTTGAATGACGGAGTGCAGGGCATATGGATAGGGGTATTCATCATAAGTTCCTAGTGTTTACTCCTGATCTTCTTTTCTGATGTCCTTACCCACAGGCTCTCTATTCACATTGAAGGGAGTGCAGAATCTTTGGTACCTTATCTAACTTGAGGATAAACTATGCTAAAATGGAAATACTCCGGGGACTGGTGGCGGTTCAGCTCAGGCAATAATTTCCTTTTGTTGGTGCCCTGTGAAAATCAGGTACCTTGGAATATGGATAGTGTCAGACTTATCCCAACTATTAAAGTTTAATTTTGCTCCGTTCCTGGATGGTTTGCAATGCAAACTCAGGGAATGGAATACAAAGCCATTACCATGGATGGGAAGATTCAACACACATCTCATATATCTTTTCCAAACATCACCATTCGAGTTTCCTAACAGTTTTTCAAAGTGCTCCAATTGCTGATATGGCAATTCATCTAGGATTATAAATCCCAGAGAATTTCGTACTCTCAATTGACACTACTGAAAGACATGGGGTGATGGCTTTTCTGGACATGGAAAAGTACTATGCTGCCTCACACCGGTCACGGGTGGTGGTGTGGATTGTGGAGGAACCTGCTAAGAAGTGGGTGGAGCTGGAAGATGCAACGATTCGAGCGCCCTTAGCTTGGACAGAGGGTGGGGGTGATTTGGGGGCAGCTAGGCAGAACCCACTGGTCATGGCGACGATGCTGGTGTGGAGGAAGACTGGAGTTCGGCACTTCCTCACTACAGACCCAGGACCATTGCTTCCATCATGAGGGGTTTTGAGCCCAGGGGCACTATCGCATGCATATTGCCAGGCCTACAGCACTGTAGAGCAAAACATGCTGGAGGGGGTTGGGGAGCTATAACCCCTCCGCAGGCTTTTGCCAGAAGGCCAGGTTACTTTCCTGCACACTATTATTCACAGGCAGGTCCATTGGTACTTGTTGACCATAATGGCACAACACTGGATTATAGGTGAACTAATCCCCTTCGAAACACTGTGTGATGCAGATGGTCATCTCGGTAATCTATGCAATGTTAGTGAAAAATAGATACTCAATGTTAGTGTTATACAGCCCGTTGGTGTTACTGACTGGATAGTAAGTAGGAGCCCATTGGTAGGACGGGAATATGTGCTTTGGACTCTGGGGGAACTGAACTCTACTGTTGACTCGCAATGACAAGGGGAGGGTGGAAATGTGCTTGATTTCTGGAGTCAACCCTACCACTCTGAGAGATAGAATCGGGATATGACATTAATGTAATCTACTCTTAATATGCAATGTTTGGAATTTCTGTACATACACATCTGATGCATTAGTAAAATGCAAACAGGAGCCATGCAACGCTGCCATATTTGTGTTTTTTTTTAATAATTTGTTAATGTGACTATTACATATTTGAATATTATGCCTTATTCATTGCTTTATACGGGTTTGTATACCCAATTAAAAGCTGATTGAAAACAAAACAAGATAACGTTTCGGCCACACAATGTGGCCTTTGCCTTCAAAAAGGACATATTGTGTGGCCAGAAAAGTTGTCTCTTGTGTTGATTCCTATTAAAGTCTGCATTTAAACCCCCTTGGAGTGCAAGAATCATTCTTTCTTATTTGGATACTATAGTGTGTAGGCTGGCCACCTCAGACCATTTTTGTCAATGGTTGGGAGACATTTAAATTGAATTGAGTGCAATCCCTGGATAGTTAAAATTATAAAATGTTTCAGAATGTTCACTATGCTCTTCAAATATCATTTGGTTGTTAACATCACCAGCACCCTGGCAACATTCAGAACTGCCCTGTGATTCCTTCATACAGTATTTTTGGTCTACCAGATGCCATGCCCACTCAGCTGGCAATCACACATATTTGTGGCAGATGGCATTTATGCAGGGGGTTAATTAAAAAAGCAATTAGGTGGCAAAGTACTAGAAGTGGATCAATAATAAATGTTGCCTTTGCTTGGTTACTTTTAGAACTTAAACTTTAGGTGCACATCATACATCAACTCTGCAGTACCAAACACACCTGTAGCGTCAAGCAATATTTTAGGTCTCATGCCGCTATCTGCCAGTGAAAGATTCAGTTAATATGCAGCTATCTATCATTTACAGAACAGTCTGCACGTTGGGTATAATCCGTCAGTTTTATTGATCGATAGTACATCAATAAATTCATAACAGTATTTTCCAGAGAAGTAATATCATAGAATGCAAATTGCTTTGTGCCATTGTGTTTTCAGTTCAAATATTTTTGCTTAAAATTTAAAATATACTTTGTATTCCCAAAAATCTGCTTTTAAGTAAATAAGCCTGCTTGTATGTGATATGTAAACATAAAAATAATAAATAGATAGGATGACTATTTAAAATGAAAGTGTATAGGATCTGGAATTGTGCAAAATGGTTCTAAGAATAGTCCAAAATGTAAATCTGCACCAAATCTGGTACACCCTGGCAGACAATAGCAAGGTGTAACAAACTAATTGCATCTATATACCAGCTGTTGTGAGATACATCTCCCATAAAAGAGTCACACAAAGGGCTGGCTGAGCATAATTGGAAATGTACTCAACAGCTGGTATGTAAGTATGGCATTCATTGGTGTTATAGAGTGATGATAATAAACAACCTGGCCAGTAACAAATCAAAACTGTCAAGGCAACCAGCCTTAAATGGGCTCTCCAGTGCCAGGAAAACATATCTGTTTGCCTGGCACTGCAAGACCCTGCAGTGCCCCTCTCCCTCCCATGTTGCTAAATGGGTTAAAACCCCTTTAGTGACTTACCTGAATTCAGCACCAATGTCCCTCGGCGCTGGGTCGGGCTCTGCCCACACTCCTCCCCAACCGACGTCAGCAGGCAGGGGAGACCTATTGCGCATGCACTGGGGGGCTTTCCTATAGGGGGTCCGGCGACGCTGGAGGTCGTCATGCATAGCGTTAGGACGTCCAGCATCGTTTAAAACACTTTTCGTGTTCGAAGAACACAGAAGTCTCTCTAGTGGCTGTCTGATAGACAGCCACTAGAGTAGGACTTAACCCTGCAAAGTAATTATTGCAGTTTATAAAAACTGCAATAATTACACTTGCGGGGTTAAGAGTTGTGGGAGTTGGCATCCACGCCATTCCAATGGGCAGAATTGGTCTGGGTGCCTGGAGTATCCCTTTAATATTATTATTATTTTTTGTTCACAAAGCATTTATTTTTACCTGTACAGAAAAGGCAAACGAACCCCTTAGAACATATTTCAACATTAATTCAGCAAAGCCCCCTTATTATACTCTTCCCAGTGTCCATATTTGGTTCCTCTGCACAGAGTGAGCAAGGGCTACTACAGTAAACAAATAAATATATGATAGACAGATGCTCGATGAATCTAATATGCCTGTTCCATCCAATGGGGCCCAAGGAAGTAACATGGGGATACAGTTTAGGGTCCTGACCCAAGGATTAAGGACCAGTGTTTCCAGTATAATATATGTAAGAGGGGCTGTCATGCATTCTGTCTAGAATGAAAGGCTGTTTGACATGAGAGATGTGTTTGCAGACATGCATGCATTGCAAACTGGTGTGCTGAGAAAGCTTCCTGCCATTCATACTCACCCCTCTGGCAGCAGCCGGATAGAATGACGGGGTTTCAGTCCCTTTGGGTTGTCATACAGCCTACTACCAGGTGTCCTTTCCTTGTGCATCAGTCACCAACCAACAGCGCCTTTCAGATTATGTCACTTCCGGCAGGTTTTTCCCACAATGCTTTTTTCTGTAGTTCTTGTTGGGTATTTTAATTCAGCCATTTCCTCTTATAAGAAGATACATTGTGTTCTATTAACATAAACTGTATATATTTTTTGTTCCAGGCGTGCAATAGATCGACATGGAATTTGAAGTTTAGAATACTTTGCAATCCGTGTAATCCTTACATTTCTTAAAGGTGCGTTCTGTGGACGTTATTTCTTGTTACCAGTAATAAACCATATATGATTGGAAGAATGTAGAACACATCTATTTTCTGTTGCTGGTTAACAGTGTTTTAAATAATAAATTTCTGAAGAATCTATATATAGGTGCTAGATAAGTGCTTTTTGATTTAGCATATGAAAATGCATCCAAGTACTGCTAATATTACTTTTGTATAACCTTTAAAGCCTTTATTTTTGTAGAAGCGTGATGTACTATTTATAATTTTAAAAATCTGACTAGTTTTAATTTTTTAATTTACAGAGCATGTGTGTTCAGGCATGTTAAGTTAATTAGGCCAACACTTGCAGGAAAATGTAAATACGTGATCGCCTGGCACAGCAGGTTGTATCTGCTGCATGCCTCCATCTTTGACCACAGGCATTATCTTCTTCCTCTCTTACGAGCCTGGCATGCGTACCGAGTCAGAGCGTTGCGAGGGTAAGCAGCGGCAATGTGCTCACAACCAAGGCTCGCGAGAGGAATAGCTGGAGGTAGAATTTGGAGTCTCCTTAGTCCCCTCATCATCATAAGACTATAAAAGCCAGCAGAGGCATATATATATATATATATATATACACACCAATCTCAGGTTTGCAATCTGTTCAGCCACGCTACACACAGAGGCAAGAGTGGAGCAGCACAGTACAACGCTCGCCTCCTGCTGGTCAGCCAGTAACCACGGGCCCCAGCATTAATGTTATGGTGGTCCACGGTCACAGGGGGCGTAATTGTGGCCAGTCCCACTTGAGTGACATGCCTGGTCCCGACTGGAACCCCTGGGACCATGGTAGTTATGCCACTGCCCCTCCCCTTCTCTAACAACATCAGTTGTTTTAACTGTTAAACTCCATCATACTGATCAGTATTGCTTCATAGCTGAGGAAGAGAGGAAAACTCTTGAAAGCTTGTCTTTTAAGTATTATATTAGTCCAATAAAAAATGTACTCCGATATTTTGGTGTGTATATATAAATATATATATATTTATTTGTGTGTTCCGTGCTATTCTTGTAACGTATGTATTGTATGGTGTACATTATAGATATGAACAAGTCAGTTAAAGTGTGCCGAAACCGACGTATGCGGCAGGCCTGTAACAAAGATTGCAATTCCTTCCGGTTGCATGTCCTATTAAGCAGAAAGTCGTTAATGGTTCGTAGGATACTGTCAATTTTGCCTGAGGGGAGGCTCGCTTCCATGCTTACTGAATCAAGCAGGATACCCAAGAAATTGACTAACGTGTCAGGGCCTTCTGTTTTATTGGGAGAAACTGGCACCCCCAAAGAATGAAAAAACTAGATGGCCTTAGTTAGATCACTGGGAGGAGAGGAATTATTCTCCACAAACAGAAAGTCGTCTAGATAATGTATTACCGCATGGCATCTGCAATTTATTTAACAGGAGCCAACATAAGGTTTCAGCAAAGGTATCAAATATTTTTGGGCTGCTTTTTGACCCGAACGTGAGCCTGGTGAAAAAATAATAGAAACCTTTCCATTTCAGACCATGCAGATGCCATAGCGAAGGGCTTATGGGTAGTAATTTAAATGTGTTAATGATGTCTGTCTTACTCAGCCAAGCCCCTACACCAGCTGAAATGATGGTGTGTATGGTAGCGTACTGAAGTGAAAATTCCTCGGATGGAATTAAAGAATTAAGGCTAGGTATGGCCAGGGAGTGAGGTGTGAATAGGTCTAATGTGAGTCTGTGTTTCCCTGAGGATTTCCCGGTGACTAGTCCTATAGGGTTGGTTCTCCAATTGGAAAATGGGGGTGCCTGAAAAGGTCCCAACAAGAACCCATCTTCCAATTCTTTCTGTACCAAACCTGTATGAAATCCCTCCGTGAAACCATCAATCAAGAAATCCACTAGATGTTTGAATGGGTAAGAGGCTAATGCGTGAGCCAAAGAACCAACGTTTACGGATGTCAAATACGGTTTGGCATGACTTTTATTAAGACACATGGATTTGGCATGAGCCCTAAAACAATGTGAACACACATGTAACAATCTGCAGGCACTATAACCACATGTACCTACATTAAAGTTGTTACACATCTGCGACTTTCCAAGGTCAACAATAGGACAACTGAGTTTGTCTTTGCCTGATCTGTCCATCCTAGTCTGTGGCTTATGGAAAGTCCCAGGTGTGGACTCTGGCGTGATGGGAAAATAGTCCGAGGCATGTGATGTGGAAGCACAAATAGCACAAGCCGGTGTCTTGAGACCAGCAAAGTGCCTGCAAAATAGCTCAGTATCCATACGGCTCCAGTCAGTTTTAACATTATACTGAGCCAAAATTGCAGACGCCCTTGCCGAAAAGGACCGGTGGTAATCATAAAAGGATGACCCACCATATTTATTTCCCAAGTCCACCAGTTTGTGCATATAAAGGTAGAGTTAATCTTGTCTATGCGGGTACACGGAGCGAATAACATCCTGATAGATACCAAAAGCTATCACAAAATCAGGTATAGACAGTTTCTTATTAAGCCTAGGATCCCTGGCCTTTAACACCACCGAAATATCACCATAAGCATAAGTGCGATTCTGTATGGCATTGTGTGAGGCAATAAGTAATGCAACAAGATTAACATCTTTCCCCTCCAAGATGTCTTTATTAATATTTGCTGGAACCATATGCACTGGAATGATAATGTGGGTTTCAGAACCAGAAGGTACGTAATTACCCATTTGCAACAGTGGAGCCTTGGGGAGTACAGTGGCCGAGGGCATAGAAGACATAACAGGAGGGCTCCGAGCCTCGATCCTATCCAGTCTATCGTTGACCTTGCCCATAGATACTACTAGTGAAGCAACCATGGCGTGAAGGTCTGAGTTGCCTGGACCACTAGTTCTCTCTCCCGCCCCTGAGTTATCGGTATTAGAGTTTGAATAGCTCTGCTTTCCTGGCCGTGGCAGGAAAAGGAATATTGCGTCTACGAAGTTCTGCAGTAATGCGAGGGATGGTCCATGACCTTCGTGAAGGCGACAAGGATCTGACCAGAGAACTGGGGAAATACAAATTGTCTGTGTCTTCAGGTAGATGGGACATGCTAAAAGAAAATAGTCAAGACCTAATCAGCCACTGTACCATATTTTGGTTACTGGCTGGCTTACTAATGCCAGATGGCGAAACAATTTCCTAAGTGTGGTGACAGGTGAGGCCCTACTAGAAGCCAAGTGGCTTGAGAGGCTCTATCTATCGATTGGTGCAAGAAAATAGCTGCCACCGAAACGTTGTGTCGGTGTGTTTGCCTCTCGATGACAACTAAAAGCATAAGATAGAAAGGGAGTGACAAGTGAGGCCCTCTCTATGCAACCGTGCGAGGCGGCTAACTATGATTCGGCCAAAGGGACAAATATCCTCTAGCGTGGAGGAAATGGGTTGGCCTCGCAGGACCACTGAGATTAAGGCGAAGAAGCCAGAATATTAAACTAGTGGCCCCTGTCCTAGATAAACCAATAATATTAAATTTTTAACCTTTAAAAGGAGGGGGGAGGGGAAGGGATTTAGGCAAAACATACCTGAGACCCACTTGCGTGTTGGTTAGGTCAGAAAATTGGTCACAACCCAACACAGAACCTGAGACTTCCACCACTATTATAGTGGAAGAGAGGTTTAAACCTAATGAAAGTAAAGGGGAGTATATGTTATACAGAGTAACAAACGTACTTTCCCTTTAACGCTGAGAGTAACCCCTTACTTTATACCTTACTTACTGGAAAGTGCTAAATAAAGATTTGATAGAACAAATAATGCAGTTGATATAAGTCCACTTGAACCTGAAAAGCAAGCATAGAGAAATAAGTAAGGTAATCTCTTACATACTAGCAGGCCCGGACTGGCCATCGGGCATACCGGGCAAATGCCCGGTGGGCCGCGATGGCCGTGGGGCCGAGGCCGGCAGGGAGATCACAGGATCTCCCCGGCGGGCCCCTGCAGGGCCAGCCCTATCCGAGTGCCGGCCCTGCTATGTGTCTCCATGGGCCGGTGGGGAGATCAAAGATCTCCCTCACCGGCCCACAGACAGGGAGATGCGGCCGCCGGCTGGCTGGGGAGGGAGTGAGGGAGGAGAGGACCGGTGGAGCTCTAACAAGCAGCTCCGCCGGGTCCTCTCGCGGGATTCTGAGCGTTGCCGCGGCAACGCTCAGATCTCGCGAGAGTGAACTCTAACCTGCAGGTTAGAGTTCACTCTCACCACTGGGCCACCAGGGAAGGCAGCATGGTCCCCTCAAGGCACCCCTGGCAAAACGAATCTCCTCCTCCCCCCCCCCCTCCCAGGATAAAAGTAAGAAGGGGGGGGGGATATAATTTTTTTTATTAATAAAATAAATATATTTCAATAAAAAATACATTCACACACACAGCATCCCCAGACAGACACAGCACCCCCAAACACACATAGCTCCCAGACAGACACAGCAACCACAGACACAGCACCCTCAAACACACTGCACCCCCAAACACACAGCACCCAGACACACACAGCACCCAGACACACACAGCACCCTCAGACACCCCCAGACACACATACACACCCCAGACACACACAGTACACCCCCAGACACACACAGCACAGCACCCAAACACACAAAGCACCCTCAGACACACACAGCGCACCCCCAGACACACACAGCGCATTCAGTCACGCACACATCACACTCCCACAGATACACAGCACACACACATATATATATATATATAAAATAACCCTCAGTGAGTTAATAGACAAAGAAAATTAGAAACCTAGAATGTGACAGCAGATAAAAACACCCTCACACACAGCACCCCTCTTACATACACACACTGCGCCCCTCACACATACAATACGTCCAAATATATATATACACACACACACTACAGCACCCTTCACACTGCACCACTACACACATTACGCTCTAGATACACGCTAGATCCCTTACCCTATATGCACTCTTAATCCTCTACACACACACACACACACACACACACACTAGATCTCCTACACACACACACACTACATTCCTTGTCAGCAAACACATACAACATTCCCCAAACACACCCTCTCTACATCCCCTATAAAACTATGCCCCCTATACACACACTCTCTACAGCCCCTAGCCACACATATTACACAACAAACACAAATTAAATTGACCTATTTACACAATACCACACCACACTCTATACACACGCAATCCCACAAGCAAGCTTCAAACATATGCACCATGCACTTTCCTGGCCCTTTTGTCCTCTGGTATCCCACTTGTGGAGACACCAGAGACAATTTAAAAGCAAACACAGCGCAAGCATGTTATTAAATTTGCTTGCGCTGCGCAGAACAAATTCAGGGCCTTTTTCTAATGCCAGAGCTCTTCAGCGGGACTCTGCGCATTAAACCAACATGCTCACTTTGAGAGGGGGTGTGCTTGTCATTAGTGATGACAAAACACACCCTCTCTGGCCCCGCCCCCTTCTTAGGGGGCCGCTCTGATTGAAAAATGCCCGGGCCTAATTTTTTTCCCAGTCCGGCCCTGCATACTAGCCTTAATACAGTACTGCGGTGAATAGCGCCATATAAACTGACCAAAGTAATTGTAGCCAATAAGAGATTTAGTAAACACACAACCTTTAACTTTGAAGCTGATCCACATCTAATGCAGACGGACCATACATATGTATATACTTGAATTCAGAAAGAAAAGGGGAAGATAACATTAGTCTGTCAAATACCATGAATCTGACTTGTCATATCTGCCTATTAGTGTAACATGCCCCATGAAAGTAATGTATATGTGCTGAGCCTGCCCCCATGTAAAATATGTGCCATGAGGGTAGAATACCCAGTAACTGTCTGAGTAATAGAAAATAGTTAACCATATGAAATTGTTTATCAGTAGATAACATTGAGATGAATTGATCATAGTGTATGTGAACAAAGTAGTATTCTAACACAGTAGTATGTACCGTAGCAGTATGCAACGTGGTAGCATGCACCACAGTAACATGCAACACAGCAGCATGCAACACAATACAATAGTATGCATCATAGTAGTATACAACATAGTAGTATGCAACACAGTAGTATGCAGCCCAGTAGTATGTAACACAGTAGTATGGGATACAGTAATATGCATCCCAGTAGTATGTAACTCAGTAGTAGTAATAGATGGCAATTGCAGCGTGTATAACTTCGTTTAAGTATGTTGCTGAAGTAAGCTGAGTTTCTCCCACGTGGGAGAAGTAAACAAACCGAGAAGGCCCAGAGGAGGCGGGCTGAAAGCTAGCCGGATAGGAGGCATGTGTGGGTGTGGTGGGTGTGGTGGAAGTATGGGTGTGTGATTTAGCTAAGGAGTAGGGTGGGGTCATATAAATAGGTGACATTTTGTCTGCTACCTCAGCCATCTTAAATTTAACGGCAAGGTAACTAGTCCCCTGTGCTAGCCCTTAGTTACTTTGCTTACCTCACGGCCAGGAGCATGGATATTGAAGGCATCCTTGCTGCCCTTAGGGCTGAGGCCCTCCAGGACGGTGGCAGGCACCTGCAGGCCCAGCTGGCAAGGCTGCAGGGTGCCTCTGTGGTAGCTGCTCCCCATCCCGGCAGCCATGGAGCCCCGCGCCGCCGGGCGCGTCCCCCCACCCGTTATAGCCCCTCACAGGAGGGCCGGGTGGGGGCCAGAAGTAGGAGCCCAGCTGCCGGTCCGCGGGCCGGTTCCCACGCGGCCGCGGCCGGCGCTGACACCAGGCATTCTCCTGCCTCCTCCCCGAGCCCCTCACAGGAAGGCTGGGTGGGGGCTGGAGGCAGGAGCACAGCTGCCGGTCCGCGGGCCGGTTCCCACACGGCCGCGGCCGGAGCTGCCATCAGCCATCCTCCTGTCTCCTCCCCGAGCCCCTCGCGAGCAGGCCGGGTAGGGGCTGGAGGCAGGAGTCAGGCTGCCGGTCCGCGGGCTGGTTCCCACGCGGCCGCGGCCGGCACATCTCTGCAGCCTCTCTCCTCCTCCCCGAGGCGGTCGCGCAGTGCCCGTCTGGCGGCCGCTGCTCGGGGAGGTGACAGCCGCCCAGGACTTCTTACCATCGGCTCGCGGGCCCTCAGAAGGGCGGCCGCGAGCTCCCGGTCGGCTAATCCAGCCCGGCCGGCGCGCTGGGTGCCTGATGTGCGCTCTGCCCCCTCCGGATCTCGGGCAGGGCGCGCACAGGTTGGGCCTGCATCCACCTCTCCTTCCAGGGCGGTAAGTGGGCCGCAGGCCACCGGGGATTTCGGGAGGGGGTTGGGGTGTTCGGGGGGTAGGGGCCCAGCGCCAGGCCCATCTTTCAACTGTCACAGCCCCCCCCCTTCTCCTTCTCCCCCCTCTGTCTCCCCTGGGCCTGCCTTTCCTGCACTCCCACTACCCTCATCCGTCCAGCCACTCCCACTACCCTCATCCGTCCAGCCTACCCACTTGTATTCCCCCCCCCCCTCCCACCTTTACCTAGGGCCCATGCTAACCCCCCTGGGGCTACCTCAGGCATGGCTATCCCAATCCCTGGTTCCCCTGTCCCACTCTCTGGTGCCCCTGTCCTATCTACTAATTTGCCAGGGTTGCCCCCCCCTACTGCGCATCTTCCAGCACCTGGGACGGGTGGGTCGGGTTTTTTCTCACCTGTCCTGTCTTCGCAGATTCTTCCAGGTCAGCTCGCTAACCGGGTCCCTGACGCTGTGTCTGGTGCGGTGCTTCCTGCGGTCGCAGTTCCCTCGCAAGTCGCGGTTCCGCTCCTACCCTCCAATTCGGCTCCTGCCGGTGAGTATTCTGCTTTTGCCGGATCAGAATCAGGGGGCGCTGGCGCACGCGAGTCGCAAGAATGGGGTTCGGTGCTCCAAGCGATAAGGAATGCTCTTGTAACTCTTGAGCGGGGATCTCGCCCTGGGGCTCCCCCCCCAACGGCCGTGGATAGCCAGCTTCGGGCGGGCTGGGCTAGTTCCGCAGGATGTGAGGTTGCGGGGGTTGCGGCAGCGTTACCCGACGCTTCTACGCAGGTCACCATCCCTCTGGCTGCGGCGCCTCCGCTAGTAACATCTGAGTCTTCAGCGAGTCCTACGGGGGTCACCGCGGTTGTCTCGGGTTTAGGGGTAGCACCCGCTGCGCATGGGGCAGCGTACATGTGCTGGTCAGGCCCTCTGGGCCTCCATCTGACGCCTGATTTGAGGGCTAAAATAGAAAAAGGAGAATTTGTTGAAATTTTTTCCCTCCTCCCTTTGGAAGATCTTCCTCGGGTGGATGCAGATGCAAAAGAGTCTGAAAAAGACAAAGAGAAGTTTCGGTATCGGAAGATTCCGAAAACTTTTGGTAACTGGATTAGGGCCTTTTCTATCCTAGCTAGCGTGATAGGTGAAAAGACTCCCAGTAAATGCTCTTCCCTATTTTGCTACCAGGACATGATATGGAATGCCTGTCGGGTTTATGGCGGGCTAGGGTGGTGGCGGTATGATGAACAGTTCCGCCA